TTCTGTAAGCATCTTCACCTGAGTACCCTATTTACTGACTGTGATTTCATTTTTTACATGTGATACTTTTTGCTTTGTGGTCCAATAGCACAAGGTGTTCCTCCTCTCTCTCTTTAGACAAGTCTTTGGGAGTTCTCTTGCCCATTCCCATTGGAGCTGAGGTGCAGGGTGATAGATGCAGGATCACCATCAGATTAAGGCGTGTATATTAAAAATATATGGGATTAAGGATGATCTGGTTTTGATTAATACTAGCAGATTTATTTGTTTTTACATTTCATTGATAAGCAAACTGCTTAAGGGTGACATTTCTGACTTGTTGCTTTTGCTGTTAGGACATCCTGAGTTTTGTCTGGACAAAGCAATGAGTATTTCCTGGGAAGCTCAGGCTGAGCTCCACCTGGAATGAGCAGAAGGGTTAAGGAAGGTTCTCTGGTAACAGCAACAGGGCAGAATGAGCCTTKATGATGGCATTTTGCTTCTTAACATACATTGGCATTTTGAGAACCATCAATCTGGAGTACCTCTGGCAGAGGTAACAGACTTTTTCTATGATGGAAGTGTTACTTAAAGAAGGCTTTAAGTTGTACCAGCTTCACTCTTTCCAGCCTTAAGGGCATATACAATCCCCCTCCTTCCCCCTCYCCATTTTTTGTTCCTTTTCTTTACTCTGCATGACAGAAATTTTGGGGCTTTAAGTTTAACCRCAGAAGTTCTTGCACTGAAAATCTCTCAACTGCTACTTTCATGTAGGAACTTCAGTTAAGTTCATTTTGTTGAAAGTTGATAGAAATTATTAATTACCAGTGTAAGCTACTTTAGAAAAATCTACACTAAACAATGAGTTCTTAGTTACTAATTGTATATATATATCCTTTGAAACTGGAATAGATCCATAATGGACAGTTGCCTTCAGATTTAAAATTACTTTTCAGGTATTGCTAGAATTTCAAGCTCATTCTTAACCATGTAGTTCRCAGGAAGAAAAAAACACTCTACTTTCTTCAACATTAAACATGGATGGAGTTKAAATGAATTATGTTCATTGCACTTGTTTAAAGAAAACTTGGAGCTTGTTCCAGCTTGAGATCACATGTTTTTTGGGAATATATAGGTCTTGTAACAAATTTTGGAATGCAAGTAATAGGCTCACAGATCTCCTCTGGGTGGGATTTCAATTTATGTCAGAAAAACTTGGACACTTAGAATGTCTAGTTGTGCTGATGCTTTTAATTTGTGGTGACATAMGAGTGCTTGGTTCACATGACTTTTCCTTGCAACCTTTTTGAATTATATTTTTGGGCTTTCAACCAGGGGTTAATGATCAGGTCAGGCAGTTTCAAGATACTTGTTTTCCTATAAAGTGGAAGTACAGACATGTATTTTCTTTTTGAGAATAAATCAAATTCCAAATGCTCGTATTAATTTTATAAAAATTATTCTTCAAAAATCACTCATGTGAAGTAACCTCAGTAAATTGTTGTGTCTTCTCCTATCTCAAATGTAAATCTGGGGACTGGGTCACATCTATTCATAGTCAGAATTTGATAACTTATGAAACTTTAGTTTTTGCATTTACCCTTGCAATTATTTTGTGGATTTTTTTTTTTTGTATTTTAATAAAGGTAAGATAAAATGAGAGTGCCAAATAATTGTTGTACATTCATTAGATAGACTCTGTATTATCTCTCATAGGTGAAATTAATTTTCTTTTCTACTCAATGGTTAACAATAATCAAGGCTGGTATATTTCATGTGTTTCATTACTAAACTTCTTCACACGGCTTCACTGAATCTAAATTATTCCAGTGTTATCTCTGTGTCTCAAATAATCCCTTGATGTTTCCATCAACAAGGAGCTTCTGGTTGATAGCCCAATATCTCCAGAGAGGCAAGGGAGGGGATCRTCCTGCTCTGCTTTGCACTGGGCTGGCTTCACCTCARGTGCTGGGGGCTACCACAAAAAGACATTGAACTGTTAGAGTTCCAAAAGAAGGCTACAAAGATGATGAAGTGTCTGGAGGGAAACCTGTGTGAAGGGTGGCTGAGGTCACTTGCTCTGTTCAGCCTGGARAAGACTGAGGGGAGGCCTCTCTGGGGTCTCCTTCCTCATGAGGGGAAGAGGAGAGGCAGGCAGTGATCTCTGTGTGACCAGTGACAGCACTCCAGAAAATGGCATAAATCTGTGTCAGGAGGAGGACAGGGTTGGATATCAGGAAAAGCTTTTCACCCGGAGGGTGGCTGAACACTGGAACACCTTCCCAGGGAAATGGCCACAGTACAAGCCTGACCRAGTTCAAGAATRTTTGGGCAATGCTCTCAGGCACWTGGTGTCTGATTCTTGGGGTGTCCTGTGCAGAGCCAGGAGCTGGACTCGATGATCCTGATGGGTCCCTTCCAATTCAATATATTCTATGATGCTCTGAAAGCTGAAGTTGATTCCCGTAAAATGGGCCAGCAGTGATGCTTGCTGATGTTTCTCCTTTTAATGTGTACCTTTAAAGTCTCCCTCATATAATTATTTTGCCTTCTAATTTATTTTAAGTGCAGTTAGAAATGCTATTCATGTGCTGGCCTACAATACAAGCCAAGCTTTAAAGGAGAGCACTGCCTGTCTCCATCAGACACAGGCATTTTTGGTCCACCTTTGCAAGGCTGGTCAGTTTTTCCAGCAAAACCATATTGCCCACTCAATATCTAGATGATTTGGTCCATACAAATCTATGTTTCTGAGGTATATCTGCATAAATGAAAATGACATGCTGAATACAGGTATGACTGCTTTATTTRTTGCAGGTACTGCTGTATGATTGTGCTTAACCCTCGAAGAGCTGAGCATTTCTGAGTCCTTCYATGCTGCCTGTCCATGAAGCTGTTTGTGCACAGCTAGTGGCATTAACAGTGACAGTGTCTGGGTCTGTGCCTGACACTGGCAATTCCTGCTCTTCAAGAAATGTGCCTTTTCTTTTTTAACAGTTAGGGAAATGTTGCCCAGTTTCATTTAGACAGAGAAGCAATGATAGTTCCAATTMCTTATGGTGAGTGCATGAAGCAAGTATATTGAATGCCTCTGCAGYACATTAAATTCACTATGTTGTGCCTGAGTTTTTTTTAGGAGCATTTTGGAAGGCACCTTTCAATCCTTTCAATATAACCTTTTCATGGTCTCTAACATAGCAGCAAAATTTCAGAGCAAAAKTTGTAATGTCTATAATACTGCAGTTCTTCATCAGAAAAAAATCTTTTGTCTCACTGTTGTTCAAAGAGCTGTCTTAGAGCAGTCTTCCCTATCCTCAAACTGAGACAAGGTGTGATATTCAAAAGATGAAAGTAAATTCTTTCACCATTCACTATTAAGGAACTGGTTGTCAACCAGCAGACATACCAGAGAGGAACAGATTTATTCAATTTATTCAGTGCTTTCAATAACCAGGATGATATCCAGTGAGAAGAAAAGTTAAGCTAGCAACAATATTTCTGACACTTAAATATTTTTCCTGATTTTTTTTCCCTCTCCCTCTCCTCAGAGCTCCAGAACAGCTCGCTCAGAGGAAGACCGAGACTCCCTGTGGGATGCCTGGGGCTCGTGGAGCGAATGTTCACGCACTTGTGGAGGGGGGGCCTCCTATTCACTGAGACGCTGCCTGAGCAGCAAGTAAGTGGCTGAATGATTTTTACTTTACTGATGGAAAAATTCAACTTACTCATATGTGTCAGACCATAAGAAGTGACCAATGGARGTCTTGACCTTCATCAAAATTGTCATCCCAGTGGCAAAAAATTATGGTGGTGGTTTTTGTTTTTAAATTCAGGCAAGCAGCCAACATGCTTGATATGGCAACACCCTTTAAAATATAGCAAGAACCCATGGAGATGAAAGAGTGGTCTGGACAGCTTGCAAGGCTGCCAGCTCCTGAAACTGAAACTTGCCTGCACTTTCATCATTTAAGCAGTAAGAGTTGTCATTTGTTCATACCAGAATTCAGATAATTCACTATGTTTAGTACCCTTCAGSCTCAGCCACACTGACTTTAAAAGCATCACATTGATCAAATGTGGCATCCTGAGCTACATAAGAAATGGTAAGAATTCTGCAAAGGATGTCTTACAAATTAAATTTCAGGTTGGAAGTCTTCATTAGTGGCAAAGCCCCCCGACAGAAGCAGAAATGTTCGGATACAAAGGGGAATTCTGGGTACCCAGTCAGGCATCTGAGATTTTATTCTTACCCTGTTACTWGCTTGCAATGGAAAATGAACAAGTCATTTGACCTTTTTTCCACTGTATAGTGTATGTAAGTTTTACCTACAAAATATTTCTAGCAAATATTATTTCTATCTACTTTAGGAAAAAAATTGCCTGCAGTGAACATGGTTTATGTGATAAATATAAACAGATTTCTGATAAAGGATATGAAGGGAAACTCCAGACCCAAACTTTATGACTTGATGCCATGTCTGATACCTTATATATTGTAGTATAAAAAAAATCTAATACAATTTTCCATCCTGCAAATTTTTCTTTCATATTTTTATTCATATGCTTATAAAACTGATGTTAATATAACAAACAGTGGCCATGCAGTCCAAATAATTTCCTCTCTCTGACATTTTAATATGCAGTGTTGTTYAGCGAAGATCGGAAACAGCATAAGGCATTGAACCATAGCAACCACAATAGGATATTGTGTATTTTAGCTTTATCCATGAACAGTTTGTTCTCCTAGTTGCCTCAWTTTGAGCTGACTCTGTGCAAAAGTCTTCTGGAAGAAAAGATGGGCAAAGGTATCTCGTGAAATAGGTGGAAAAACAATGTTTTGCTATTCTGCTAGATAAAAGAAAAAAGATTGGTTTTAAATGTGGAGCCAGATTTTAATATGTTGTTAGTTTCATAGCTAGCCAATTGTGATTCTGAATTCACCTCAAAATCTGAAATTTCAGAGAGAGGAACTTAATTTTAATCACAGTATATAATTTTCCATATTAAAAAAAAAAGTGACATTCAGTATTTTGCTTTCATGTAAACATGTACCTAGGTCTGTCATGGGATCTGGGGAATCTCAGCATAGGGGCTTTCTCTGCTCCCTCATCAGAACTGTTCTGGTAGGTTACAGAGGGCAAATCTTGAAGTTCTGAGTAATAGMACTTGTCATCATAGTCTTCTGTAAGTATAGTCTTGTGAGTATAAACCATTTTTCTGGACTAATTTTGATACTAGTGCTGTTCAGGATGATCCTGAAGTTTCACCCATGAAAAAGAAATACCCTGATAAAACACACAGGATTGGTTTCCATACCCTGCCTTTCTGTTACCCTATCAGGACATAAGCAATGCTTCCTGCCTTAAGAAACCAACCACAAACTACAACCCATTCAGACAKGGAAACCTCCAGCTTCCAGGATGGAAAGCAGAGTGTTAATTAGGTTAATTGGCTTTTGGTAGCCAGTAGCAATAAATAATACATAGTAAGATTTGTCCTGGAATTAGCAGTCTATCAAATGTGTGATAGTTTTTCCTTTTTTATGGTCGATTTGCAATTCTTAATTAAGGCTTTAAATGATTAATTTTTCTGCTAGCAAGCATTTTAAGCTATTTAGTSAGAAAGGGAGCAGGGTAAAGAAGCTTATCCAAGGTTTTCAAATAAGCCTGTACATGAGTATTTCAAACTTGGCAAGGCAAGACCAAAATGTCCATCTCTGAGAGACAATTTCTTGGTCGGTACAGTTTATCTCATGTATTTATTGTGTGTAATTTCACTGCAGCATGAAGGAAGATACTAGATTTTTCTGTCAAATAAAAACTGGCAACACATTTAGTTGTTTTGGAATAAATTAATTCTAAATATTTCTGATCCTGGAAGGAATTTTCATGTGCCTTTTATCTTTTAGCACTGTATGAGGTGACTTTCAGAGTATCACATGAACAGGKAGAGCCCAGTGTATTGGCTTTGAAGAACTACAAAGATTAATTGCCRTTCCTAAACACCATTAATATGTATAGCTAAACAAAGGAAACCAGCTTTCTTTCCAGCTTTTGTTTGCCAAAGTTATGTTAGTGCTGGTGTTGTTTGTTTTGGGAACATGTTTTGTGTTAGGCCTTCACAGCTGTGATGAAAGAATGGAAAGTGTTAGTGAAAAATTCTGTATTCTAGTGTTTTAAATGGCAAAAAATTCAGGGTAGGGGCTGTTTAACAGAAAATTTCATTAGAACAACTGGTTCTGATTATGCTAAGGACATTATGATAGTGATATAAATACATATGCCAGTCACACAAGCAGACAGGCTTTGTCAGCCCAAGTCAATTGTATGTCCTTGTATCCCATGCTGACAGCAAGCAGCACTGGTTCACTCCAGGGGCAGAATWAGCCCAGGGAAAATAAATTTTTGCTAATTAGAATTAACAAAGTTAGAGTGCTAAAACTCAAAGGATGACTCTTTCATAGTCTTTATTTGCATTAACCCTTCATAGCTTTTGATTCTTGTTATTTACACAAAATGACAGACCACCTTTAAATTTTACAGGGTTTTGCCTCAACTCACTTGAAAGTGAACATCCCAGACTAATTRCGTCTTAGGTAACAGGGTAACTATCTTAATCATTTTATCATTTGAGAGTGTTTTACCCTTCAGTTTTCCTATTTTTTTTAATGAACTGCTATGCAGCACTACTCATCAAAACCTGCAGAGAGGAGAACCACAGACCACTCCTATTTTTTTAAGGGCCAAACTACCCATTGTTGAGCTTCTGTAGGGAAGCAAATTTTATTAGCTATTGCCTGCTTTGGCTACAGAGATTATGGAAATACATAGGCAGAGCAGACAGAGGGATACTACAATGGAGTCTTTGCCCTCTTGCTCAGAATCCAGGTATAACTTGTTGCAGTTTATTGTACAGCACAGCTGGCATTCGTCATCTAGCACAGTGATTGACAGTAACACAAAAACCTTCCATCCAGGTGTTAATAATTGTCCATATTGATGCGAGCAAACTCAAACAGAGTAATTACAAATGTCTGAATTAGATATCTGAAATTAATGTGCCTTTATTTCATTTATTGAAATACATTTTCAGATTGTAAAAGAAATTGTAAATTCTCTTACTCATTTGTTCACACRTACTGGTCTAAAAATATTGCATGTTTTCTGCAATTGTACTTTACATATTGACAAGTACTATGGTAGTAGTGATAATATTTTGCTTTTGGCAAGAAGATAATTGTGATTCTTTTTCTGTCATCTTCCAAATTTACCTTCACTTTCTTTTAAAGCCAGGCTGCAGGTAGCAGAAGATAAGCATGTCTTAGAGTTTTGCAAATTATTTTTGCTCATAGTAGATAAGTAGTCTAGTTTTTAAACTGCTTAAAAAGTCTCAATGTTACTGTTGCTTCTGTTTATGAAAAAAAAMCACAAGAATAATTTGAGTGCTGAGGTTGTTATGGAGTCCCATGGATACTGAATCTGAGTTAAAGGGCCAAAATTTGAGATAATCACTTATACTTCTGGGAAATAATGTGTAAACTTCTGAATAGAGTGGAGGTTTTTCCCCATTAAGTGAGGGTTTTATGTTTAGTAGCAGAAAAAAGTCAATATTAACATTTTCCTGACAAATTTCTCTCAG